GCTGGTGTATGTAAAACACCTAATACAACTTGCAGCTGCTACATGGACAATAAAAGTCATCTAGAGCAAAAAAATTAAAAAACACCTAATAAAAAATCTTCTGAAATTTTGTAGTTTATAATCTTACTGTAGGGACTGGGGAGATGACTCAGCAGAATAAGCACTTCTGTGGCAAGCGCAAGGGCCTGAGTTCAATCCCTGGTTCCACCAAAAAATAAATAAATAAGTAAAATCTTACTATGAAATGTGTACATTTGTGGAACCCTGTTGAATGCTGCCTTTGCAGGAGCTTGTGCTACACCTCATCTCAGTTGTGACATTTTCAGGCTCATGAAATGTGCATTTTTGTATATTAAAGTGCATCATTAAAGTATTTTTCTCCTGAACCACCAATATTTATTTTATGTGAATAGCAATCTGTAACTTCTTTTTCTGTTGCATATTTTGTTTTATAAACTAAAGCCTTTATTTCAGAAAATAAGACAAATTAACATGTGAAGAAACTTTAAAATTGAGGTTTGAGTATTGCCAGGTACATTGGTGTATGCCCACAGTCTCACCACTCTGGGAGACTGAGGCAGAAGGATCACAAGTTTGAGCCTCGCCTGGGCAATTTAGCAAAACTGTGTCTAAAAAAATGAAGGTGCTAGGCATGTTGGCACATATCTGTAAACCCAGCATTTGGGAGACTGAGGCAGCAGGATTGCCATAAGTTGAAGGCCAGCCTGGGATCGTGAGTTTAAGACCAGACTGAACTACATTATGAGACCCGGTCAGAAGCCCTTGGTTTAGTCCCCAGTACTGAGGAAAAAAATCTGAGTATGTTTAATGACAGTGTACATTTTATTGAAAACACAACTTTAGAACAAAAGGCTCATGAATTTAAGTCTCACTTAAACCATGGTTGTCCCATGTGTTGACACATGCATTATTATTATAATCTCAAATCATGGCTGATTTTATGTAAGAAGTCTTTTTCAGTGGTACAACAGTTTTTAATGTTAGGGCAATTTCACTGACTGAGTTAATTTTTTGCATCCTCTTCCTCTGAATGCACTTGTCAAGCCATCTGTTTGATGTGGACGGTATAATATCAAAGTGTATTTTGAAGATGGATTGGGATTTTCCTGTGTAAATAATTGTTATTGTTTATAACATGATTTTGTTTGCTTCATCATACTTTTGAAGCACATTCCTTGTACTTTTCCAGATTGATTCTGCTGATTTTTAAAAATTCTTGTCATTCTTTCAATTAGACATGCTTTATTCTAGATCTATAATTTTGTTCCTTCCCTCATAGATGACTAGTGCAAGCCTGAAGCAAGACAGCTTTTGTTTGAATCTTCTAGTCCAGCTGGGGAGATAAGATAGCTCAGTGGCAGAAGCACCTTCCTCACAAGCGCAAGGTCCCCAGTTTGATTCCCAGTACCACACACACACACACACACACACACACACACACACACACACACAAACTGAATCATGTAGTCACCTCACAGAGATAACAGTTTAAATAAAGACATGAAATTATAGTTTGAACAAAAATCACATTTCCAGATCATTGCCATTGTAATTGAATAGTGATTATCAAGCTTACTGATTTTTGTTTTTTTAATTAGGTCTTTGTTGAGATAACTGGTTGTTTTTAGGATGTATGGTCTTTTTTCAACATTTTTACAGTGGATCAATAGTCAAGAATTGTGATAACTAAACTGAGTTTTGGTTTCTTTCAGATTTCGGCCTATTAAAGGACGGCAAGAAGAACTAAAGGAAGTAATTGAACGTTTTAAAAAAGATGAACATTTAGAGAAAGCCTTCAAATGTTTGACTTCAGGTGAATGGGCACGGCACTATTTTCTCAACAAGAACAAAATGCAGGAGAAATTATTCAAGGAACATGTAA